TGCATGTTGTACAGTCGGGCTTGCACCCCCCCCCGAGACCCGAGACCCCACGCGACGCAGTCCTCCAACTGTCCATTACAAGAATCACAGTTCTGATCACCGTTCTGATCAGGGACGGGTAGCCGCCAGGTGAGGAGCAGCCCAACGAGCCGGGAGAAGCTGTCCTAGCCTGCTGCCATTTTTTCAATTTTAGCATGTATGACATACAGACATGCATACAGAATAAGTACGTACATACAAACATACAGCTCACGGTCGCCGAGAGTGCCTACGTACGCACAGTTCCAACAATACCGGCAGCAGTATCTACCAATACCCCCAACCCACCTGCCTAGCAAGTCAGGGCATGCAAGGCCAAACTGGCAACGGACCTTGACCTACCCAGGGCGGGGGGTTACGCCGCCTCCCGTGAACGGGTCGGGTATCCGGGGGTTCGGTAATGCTTACCAACACATAATACACAGCGTGTTGCCCAGCAAGCGCGACAACATCGCATCGTCCTCCTGATCACCGGATAATAACGCCACCAACCGAAAGCCTTAGAGGAAGTGAAACAGCGGACATAGCCTTAATAATCCACAATAATTCACGACCGGCGTTCCAGATACCGTTCCTTAGTCGCTAAGAATATCGATGGGTCGATGCATGCATCACGGAAAAAGACATATGCAAAAGGTTAATACCCTCAGCTCCTCCTCCCTAGCTTCCAAAGAATGAATCTTTGCGCTTCAACACATGGCAAGGAATCAACAGATCAACCGCCGGCGCAACGGCGCATATGCCCGAACCGAGAGCGCCAGCCGTTAATTATGTCCTATAGCCTTCATGGCTTGCTGTACGGTTGCGTTCGGGGTGCCGGATAGGACAGGGCGAGGCGAAACCGGGGCTGCCAAGGGCCTTACACTACTGCAGAGTACTAATTGCTGCTCTCGGAGCGCCAGGGCGCGTGTGCGCCGAAGCGCGGTCTAGCGCCACACGGCGCGGTCTGAGCGCACGCAGCGCTGTCCAGCGCGGCCACACCGGCACGGCCGAAAGAAACTGACGCACGGCACTAGACAACTAAACGCAGCATTAATGACTGCGTCCACTGGTCACCCGCCCCGAGGGCAAACCTGAAGCGTCAGCGACGCACGAACCACACCCTGGCCAGCAGGGCTGGCCAGGCGACATTCCTAGCGCGCAACGATACTCTATAGGCACTTATTTGCCGTGCGGTAATCGCTGTACAGCTGTGCGTCTGGCGCTCCGAGGGGACTGCCTAATCACCGGTCTCCAACTGGGCCGAGCCTGCCGCTTATAAACGAGGGACACTGAGGGCGGGGGGGGGGGGAAGTGAGAGCAACAATAATAATAAGCTCCAATAGTGTAGGCAGAATGCCGGAACTTTGGAGCTGTCAGCTGAAATAGTAAATTCGAATTCTCAGCAAGCCATACGGCTGCCGTACATAACCTAGCTTAGAGGCTATACTCGCTTTGCTCCTGCCGCATCTAAGCTACAATTATGTCCTATAGCCTTCATGGCTTGCTGTACGGTTGCGTTCGGGGTGCCGGATAGGACAGGGCGAGGCGAAACCGGGGCTGCCAAGGGCCTTACACTACTGCAGACAGAAAAGATAGCAGGAGGGGCCCTCTGACTCAGGCGAGGCCCAGGTTGCGCGTGGTTTCCAGTGCGGCATCGTCTTCCAGCCGGGTATATAGCTGCACCATTGCGTCCGTCTTCCAGCGACCGTGGGCCTTGCGGGCTTCTTCAGATACCCCTCTGGCTGCTGCCGCGCTGTTTCCCCCGATGCGCATGGAGTGTGGCATGATGCCGCGCTTGATGCCCACGGCGCTGCACATGGCAGCGAGCTTCTCCCGGAAGGAGGTATAGCTGAGGCTGGGGATCGGTGACTGAACAGAGCCGGTCCTCTGCTGCAGCTGGTGGCCTTGCTGTGTCGCCTTAACCCTGCGCAGCAGCGGACCACATCCTCCACGGGGGAACTGGGGACACGGACATAGTTACCAAGCGCCAGCAGCCTCTCTGTCAAGCCCACTGGGCAGGCCACGCCCCCCACGCGCGCAATCCGGATGGTCTGCCCTTTGCCCTCCTGGTCCGTTTTGGACCTAGGCAGTGTGATGGCCATGTGAGTGTCGTGCAGGGTGAGCAGATCAGACTTGACGGAGATGTGGGCTAGGTCGTTGAACCTCAGGAAACCCGCGAACATAACCGATATGGCCGCTACCATCATCAGGTCTGGCAGTGAGGCATCCGGCCCAGCGAAGTGAGCGGCCAACATGCGGACATGCTCTGGTTGCATGCTTTCCCTGTGCAGCTTCTTCCCTTGCAGTGTGCGCCTGCCCAGGTCCCGAACGAGGTTGCATGCTGGGTGCTCCGTTGGTGAGGGGCGGCCCGCGAGAAAGAAATGGCAGGCAATAGTGGCGCTCGCTCCCGCGACGCGACCCGGACCTACTTCATCCGCTTGCACGGTTTGGTAGACGTGCATCAGGTACATGGCCACTATCTCTGGCCTGATGTCGTAGATGTCGCTCGCCCGAATGTGTAGTAGCTCTGCCCAATCTAGGAACTCCTGCCATGGCTCCTTGTACTGGGCGACTGTGCTGCTAGCTCGCGCCTTGTGCGCCTGGCTTGCCAACGCCAGAGCTAGATCCCCGATCATTGGGTTAGCGTCCAAGGGCACCTGGCCAAGCAGTGTCTGCGCGCGTGCCCTTATTCCTGTGAAAACCGGGGGGCATAAGGGTCGGGGGGCACAGCGATCCGGCGCGGGGAAGGTGTTTGGAAATCGATGAGAAGTGCGAGCGATAGCCAGTTAGCGGACCCTTTTGGGACCTCGTTTCCCGAAGACCCTGGCAGGAAAAGATCATACGCCTTGCCCAGCTCTCTTAGGCCGTGGACGCAAGGCGCAAACCACTTCCCGTCTTGAGTCAGATAGGACCACCAGTCGCGCGTCGGCCAGAGGGGAACGATCAGACAGATGCGTGCTTTGCACAGCTCTGCGTGCCGCAGGACCTTAAGTAGCAAACAGAAAGGCGGGTTCGCCCAGCAATTCCGCCCCCAGCGGA